CCCCAACCTTCTGGAAGGAAGAGAGCTGCCAAGATCAGTGTGAGAGATGCTGTTGATCGCCTCCTGAAATTTGAAAAGGTTAGCTTATGTTCTGGATCTTTTCTTGAGCATAGCAAATATCCTAACCATAAACCATATCCTAAGAATAGTGAACTGTTATAACGAAAGCATGTAGGGTTTGTAGGGTACATAGAAGATGTAATTTTCTCTAAATTTGTGGTAAATTTACTATGTTCTGATTTTAAATGTATGCTAGAATTTATGGCATTTAAGTAATTTTTATATTGTTATTAATCAGTCCTGCAGAAGTTTGGAGGACCATCTCTCAGAGGTGGAGGACAGGCAGCCCTATCTTCTGGCCACTGGACCAACCAAAGCAGATGTGCTTAAGTTCTACATTGTGGTCGACAAGAATCTCATCACTTGGAGCTTTTGATGAGCTTTTTAAAGCTCATTTTGTCTTTGGTGCACAATATGACCCATCTCTCAGCAACATGTTCACCTTTATCCAGACAACAGTATACAAAATCCATCCTAACACGTCCAGCCAATCATCACGCACTCGAGAGTTGAGAGCAAAACGGTTTAATGGAAAGTACATCATGAGAAGACATTTCATTTGCAAGTCTCTGCTGGGTACAAGCATTAAATTGTTTCGACACCTGAAGTTAGCTCATGGCATGTACCCAGGAAAGAAGCTGAGACTGATTTGTGCACAAGAGGGATGCAACTTACAGTTTACCACCTATTCTGGCGTTCGGAAGCATTTACATTATATCCATTGTGAAAATGAGGATAATGCAGCTCCCAGCCATCAAACACAGGCTCCAGAGTTACCTTCTATTGAAGAGACAAATGTTGACCATATATGTGAAACACCTGATAGCCCACAGCAACCTACAACCTTTCAAAGCCTGGATAAGTGTGCATCAATTATTTCAAAATTGATGGCAAGTAATGTACCAAATACTGTTGTTTCTTCAACAATAGAAAGCCTAGATGACTTCATCGATGATTTAAAGTGTAACCTCAAGGAAAAGGTCCTAAGTATCGTTTCACAAAATAATTCAAGCAGAGAATGTTTTCGAAAGTTTTGATAATCCATTCAGTGCTCTAAATACAGACCACAAATTGAACATTTCTTTCTATAGCAAGTGGGGTATAGTGCAGCCAGTTGAGGTGCCTTTAGGCATTAGGTATGACACCAAGAGAAATAGACAAACAGGAGCAGTTAATGATACATTTATTTATATACCAATACTAAAAACATTAGAATTTATTTTTAAGAACTCTGATGTGTGTGATTTCATGCAGGACTGCACTCAAAGTGACATTTTGGAAGATTTCTGTGATGGAACTTATTTTAAAAATCACCCCTTGTTTTCAAGTCACAGATTTGCTCTACAAATTCAACTCTATTACGACGATTTTGAAGCCGCTAACCCCTTAGGATCAAAAAAAGGCATTCATAAACTTGGTTGTCTATACTTCATTCTCCGAAACCTTCCACCAAAAGTAAATTCAACTCTAATGAACATTCATCTGGTGTCATTGTTCCATTCACAAGATGCCAAAAAGTATGGAATAGATTCAATATTGAAGCCTTTTGTGGACGATATGAAAGTTTTAGAGATGGAAGGAATAAAGGTCCCTTTCTGCGAGATGCCTGTGAGGGGTACACTTGCACAAATCACCGGTGATAACTTGGGCATTCACTCAATTCTCGGTTTTATGGAGTCGTTCAGTGCAAACTATTTCTGCCGCTTATGCTTGATTGACAAAGTTTTGTCTCAAGAAGTTTTTTCAGAGGATGATCCACGACTGATATTGAGAACAAAGACTCTTAATGAGGAACACTATGCTGATCTTTCAGAGGAACCAACTCTTACATCTTCACATGGAATTAAGCGCAACAGCTTACTCAATACACTCTCATACTTCAATGTATCTGAAAACTTTGCTTTTGATATAATGCACGATATTTTAGAGGGTGTGGGTCAGTATGAGATGAAACTTCTCTTTGATTATATGGTTAAGAACAAATTCATTTCAAAAGAAAGCCTGCTCAACAGAGTATATGCCTTTAACTATGGCCACATGGAAAGATCAAATCGGCCAACTAAAATAAACTTGGACTGTGAAGGTAATAGCATTGGATTAAATGCTGCACAGACTCTTTGTTTAATAACAAACATACCGTTGATTTTTGGTGATGTTATTCCTCAGGGAAACCTGCATTGGTATTTGTTACTGTTGCTTTTGCAGGTCATCAACATTGTGTTCTCACCTTCAGTCACAGAGGGTATGACTGCGTTTTTAAAACACCTCATCAAAGATCATCATCAGCTGTTTAAGGAACTCTACCCATCCAAAAACTTGATTCCTAAACATCATTTTATGTTGCACTATCCTCGCTGTATTCGGAGAATTGGTCCATTGTTGCATGTTTGGTCAATGAGGTTCGAGGCCAAACATAAGTTCTTTAAGAACTGCATAAAGAACTTTAAGAATTTGACTGTGTCTTTGGCAAGAAAACACCAATTTGCTGTGGCCTATCACTGGGAGTGTATGAATTACAATTCCCTGGAATCAGGACCAGTGAAGGTACATAAACTTCTGTGTTTGGATCATTTTGAAGAGATTTCTGTAATCTTTGCATTGATTCTCAAACTAAAATTCGACATACAAAGTGGGTAAAATGCTCTGACTGGAGCAGAGTACAAAGTTGGCCTTTTCGTGTGTTCTGATATTGTTGACGAAATGCCTGTTTTCAGTAAAAAACTAAATATATTATTGCTCAGAGAACAAGTTTTCTTGTTGTTAAAAGACTATGAGTCGACGTTCATTGAACAGGTCCATGCCTACAGATTATTTGACAAAGCATCTCAACATGTATGGATAGTGAACAAAGACAAATTAAGGAATATTTCTTTGTTTGATGCACAGATGTCCTATGGTGCTGACTCATTTTTCTAGATAGTTGCAAAAAATGAACTTGTTTGAAACACTCAGTAGAGATTTATGTGATTATTTAGCCTGTAAAGGTATAGTATATTTTATCAGAATGAATGTGTATTTTCAAACCAGGCACTTTTTAAAATTGATGAGTTAAAGATGGCATTAAATTGTTGTTGTATTTTTCAATTTAAAGATGGTATTGCAGTGTATGTTTACTTGTTTAAGAAAAAAAGTCAATTTCTATTGAAGATGTTCATGCAGATTATTTGAAAAAGTAAATCAACTTACATGTACTGTCCTATGGTGCTGACTAATTTTGTAAAAGTTTTACACCTTTTTTCACTGTGTACAAGTGATATCAAATCATTTCAGCCGGTTCTAATTTGAAGATTCGGATGCTGTAAGTGTAATGTTTAGCTAAACCGCCGCTCCAGTTTAGCGTTTAATGTTGTTTTTGCAGTTAAAAAGACAAAGTTGACAATTCTATTGGCCTAGTTTAGTTATTTTAATAATTTCTTTATTTTTACTTTATTTATTGATCACTCAGGGTTATCTAAATTAACTATTTGTGGCTTGTGTTTTGAATATATTTTCCCCTGCACTTTAGGCACTTTGCACACATTTGTTCTGCATCTTGTGATTCTGACTTATTTCGTTTTGTATTTTTATTTATTAGAAAGGTATATTCTGTTCTAATTTAATTCTGTAAATTAATTGATTATTTTTCGGTGCATCGATGTTGCGCTGTAGCCTACTTAGAGCCTGCTCGCACAGGCAATTTAGCCAATTTAATTTGCATGTGAAATGCAAATCCTGTCTGCAGTGTGGCCTTTCTGCATTTATTTCTTAGTTTTATTGATCCGAAATGTTTTTATACAGTTTATTCTATATCTTTGTGTGATGTTCTGTACATCGCGGCATTAAAATGTTAAAGCCCCGCCCCCTCCCCAACCCCACACACGATTCGACTATTGGTCGACTATAGGGAAGACTTGACGATTCTGATTCGACTATGAAAATCCTTAGTCGGGGACACCCCTAATGTTTTTAATATGTTTATTTCAGACCAGATGGAGGGGAAAGAGAGAAGACAAGAACTGAAGTGAAAGGTGATGATGCTGTACACTGTAAAAAAGGATTTGAGATTTTTGCTACCTCAACTCATTTTCCTAAGTTAGCTCAACTAAAGTGTTGAGCGTACTTAAGATATCAAGTTTACTTGTGCCCAACTACTCCATTTATTCAAAGTAGTTCAGGCAACATAGAATTCTTAGTTGTATGAGCGGCCCCTGCATAAATACGTAGGAAACCCCACGGACCACGCCCTTACAACGCCTGCATCTTCGAGAAACTTCCATTTTGGATCAAGAGTTCCTGAGGTAAGCTTAAACTTCTATCTTCCTCGTTTTTATGAAAATGATTGTTAAATTAAGTGTAAACTAGATGCGTATATATCACAGGGTGGTCAGTGGCCACGATAAATATAGTTTTGTCCACATGTTATGTGCTGCGTGTCCGTAAAACACTGCTGCTGCACCTGCATATGACACGCGGTCATACATTTATATCGTATCCTAATCGTGGCCACTTTTACATTTTCATAATACTTTTATCCCAACTAAAACACAACGTTACGTAATGTATTCGTACTTTTTTGATAATTTCATGACTTCCTAACTGACAACATAACTATGACGTCGCATGCCCGTAATTACCATCAAATTACCAGATCACAACGTTGTCAGATCAGATCTATTCATAATGTTTTGGTAATTTCGTTAAGTATTTTTGGCAAAGTAACGTTATCTGCGTCGTTTCATTACCATCATTTACTGCTACTGCTACACGTTCTTATCGCAGCTATTTAAAATGTGTAACGGTAATTAAACGTCAGATACAATAGTGAAGTTTCCCTTAAGATACATTTTTATTTTACCAAGCAGATGATTATAATTTGCTCTGTCTCTATAACTTACTATTATATTCTTAGTGTAGTGTAGTGAGTGAAATGCAGCGCGTTCTGCACGTGCGCGCGCACAATGTTGAAGAGTGGACTTCCCGCGCAGCTCACTGGGTTTGGTTTTTGCTCTGGCACATTTTTACTTCAACTGCGTCTGACGAAGGAATAAGTTTTTCTGAAGTGAGTCTTAAAACACACCAAGCCGACGAACTAGCGCTGATGAAAGCCAACTGTGTTGTCGCCTCGCGTCGGGGTAAAAAAAAGCTGCACTTAAACACACCAAGATAACTAGTTAACTTACAGCGACTGTTAGCTAGAATGCTTGTTCAGCACCTGCTTGTAAATGAGACTACTGTCTATTTCTGCAGATATATTCGTCTATATTCGTCATTTAAAAAGGGAAAACCGACGCTGCAGATACACACACCGTAAACAAAGTAGTGCGTGCTAAACTTAACTGTTACCATTTTGAATATCAATCCTGCTCTAAACACTTTCTTTATTTCACTCTGCTCGTGTTAATATTGAAATATTCGCCAAGAAACAGTCAGGTTAGATGAAGTAAGATTGGAACAGCCTTCTGTCTGTGCAGTTTTGGTTTATTCGCTCGCTGTTTTGCTATTCTCGTGCACTGACTTGTTCAATAAGCTGCTAACGTTAAGTTAGCTAAGAGTTCCCTATTTCACCGACGCCGATTCAACATGTCGAATCGGCCGTTACAAAGCCGACGAGGACCAAATTCAGCCGATCGTCGGCTTGGTGTGTTCCAGGCATTACACTTCCCACGAATAAATAGCACTTGCTCTCTCACACACACACATACACACACTCACTGTCGCTCACTCGCGGGGGCGCGCGCGCTCTCACACACACACACACACTCGCTGTCGCTCACTCACTCGGGCGCTTACTCGTGCGGGCACGCTCCTCAATGTCGTTCGTTCGCTCACTCACTCTTGACTGAACCCGTCGTGGAGGACCATTTTTTTTTAAACATACTAGTCTTTAACATAATTAGTTCTGTGGGTTACTTGCATATTACACGCCATAAAGTGTGTATCATATGCACGTAAAAACAAATTTTTGTATATAAATTGCGTCATAAATGCATAAAAATGGACAGATTTTACATTATTCGGTGAACTAACTCTTTATAACAGCTGAAACGATACAAACGGACAATATAGTGTAACTGACAGTGTAGTATGCAACTAACAATGTTTTGTTGAACTGTTGAAGAAATCAATATTACATATTACTACAATATTACATTACTGAAAGCCCTTTAGCAGTAATGTACAGTATGTACAACCCCAAAAGTATGGAGAAGTCAGTCTGACTTTGACTTTCTTTTTCTTCAGAGTTTGTGGCTGCACTGACTGAGACTACAGAGCAACCTTTCTTGTGAGTCATATGAACTGGATCTGCAAGTTCTGCAGATTTTCTTCTGCCAACCAACGCAGCATTATAAGGCATTATAAGCGTAAACACGGACACTTTAATAGGTCTTGCCCCTTACCTTGCATCTACAATGACTGTTTGTGCTCCTTTAAGACACAAGTTGCTCTCAAAAACCATTTGTTGAAACATGAAACATCGGTGGTTCATCAATCTCAGGCAAATGATGCACATGAATCTCTGTCCAGTGTAGTAAATCATCGGCTACAGTGTGAATTATGTGATTTTTCTGAGCCATGTACTATTAAGCAGTACTTTGCTCATTTGGGAGCTCATTTGAAGAGTAATGAAACTGTTAATTGTCCTTTTGCGCAGTGTCAATTTAAGTCTAGTGTGTATTCCACCTTTACTGGGCACAAATGTAGATATCACTTTAATTCTGGTTTAAACAATATAAAACCTGAACTAATTTGTGATCACAGTCCAGCAGAAACCAGTGAGGAACAAATAGGAGATGTGGTTTCAGTAGATTATGATAACCCCCCAAATGATGATGATGACTGTGAAGATTATGGAGAATCAGTTAATCATAGACTTGCATCCTTATTCCTGCGTATGCAAACCATTTTGCACGTGTCCAAGTCAGCAACACAAGAAATAGTAAATGAACTGTATGAGATAGGCGTTTTAGCTGGAGAGTTTACTAATAGGTCAATTGAGGAAGTGCTAAGGGAACATAATTGCAACACCGACAGCACTGTTTTAACTGTGGTAAAGAAAACGCTGCAGGAAACTAATCCGCTTTGTTTACTTTCAAAGACTGGACCATTTGGCACTGACCATAGGAGGTCCCTATTTTTCAGAAAAAATTTTCCTGTCATTGAGCCTGTAGAATATATTTTAGATAATACTACCAGGAAAAAGACATTTGTATACGTCCCTATATTAAGTGTTTTAACGGAGTTACTTAACAGAAATGAAATTCTAGACAAAGTTCTTACTGAAGAATCTCTTGCATCGCAATCTGGTCATTTTAAAACTTTTCGTGACGGCTTATACTTTAAAGAAAATCCGCTATTCTCCAGACAGGAACTACCAATTGCTATTGGATTGTACATAGATGACTTTGAAACATGCAATCCTTTAGGTACTTCTAGAAAAAAAAATAAGGTATGTGCTATCTATTGGGTACTAGCAAATTTGCCTATCAAATATCGATCATCTTTGCAATCGATATATCTTGCAGTGCTGTGCAACAGTAATGATATCAAAACATTTGGCTATGAGAAAATTCTTGAGCCACTTATAAAAGACCTACAGATCCTTGAAAACCAAGGTCTGTTCATCCAGAGGTTAGGAGCAAGTGTCAAAGGAACAGTGCTTTTTGTATCTGCTGATAATTTAGCTGCTCATTCACTTGCTGGCTTTCAAGAATCATTCACTGTTGATAAATTTTGCAGATTTTGTTTAGCAAGCCGTAGAGATATTCAGACAACTGAAGTAAGAGGTGGGTTATTTCCGCTTAGGACTAAATTAACTCATGAGGCAGATGTTTTGGAGGTTAAACAAAATGAACTTGTACAGAATGTAAATGGTGTCAAAAGTAATTGTGTTTTGAACAACTTGACTTACTTCAATACAGTTACAGGGTTCCCGCCCGACTTTCTGCATGACCTCTTGGAGGGAATTGTACCTTTTGAACTTAGCTTGTGTCTTAAAAAGTTGATCTCGGATAAGTACTTCACATTGGATGAATTAAATTCTGTTATTCAGAATTTCCCGTACTTATTCTCTGATAAGACTAACCGTCCCTACAGAATTCCCCCAAGTTTCAGAATCAATGGTACAATTGGTGGAAATGGTCATGAGAACTGGACTTTGTTAAGACTTCTTCCACTGATGATTGGTGAACTAATCCCAGAAAATGACATAACATGGGGTGTTATTCTTAAATTAAAAGACCTAGTAGAACTTTTGGCATCACCATCTTTTACCAATCAGTCACTGTGCTATTTGGAAGAAAACATCTCAGTCCATAGGCAGTTGCTCCAGGAGGCCTTTCCAGACTGTAAACTAAGGCCTAAACACCATTTCATAGAACACTATCCCTACCTCATCAGGTGCTTTGGACCTTTGCTGGACTGTTGGACAATTCGTTTTGAAGCGAAACACAGCTTTTTTAAAAAAGTTGTGCGTGATGTGAACAATTTTAAGAACATTTTGTTAACATTAGCCACAAGACACCAGCATATGTTGGCTTACTTCCTTGATATGCCCAGCCTTTTTAAGCCACCAGTGGAGGTTGGCAGAGTATCTCTGGTTTCTCTGGACATTTTGGATAACTCTGTCAAACAGGCTATCAGACATAAATACAAGGATGTTAAGACCGTGTCTCTTGCAACTAGTGTGATTCTACATGGTACTAAATACTCTGAGGGGATGTTTGTTTCGGTTGGGAGCACAAGCGGACTACCTGATTTTGGCAAAATTCTCAAAGTACTGATTGTGGGCAACAAGGCATCATTTATCATTGAATGCTTTTCAGCCTGGTACTTGGAGCACTTCAGATGCTATGAATTGACAAGGAAACTTTCCACAGACCTTCAAGTTGCAGACCCAGAAGAACTGAATTCCTTCCACCCAGTGGCTCCTTACATGGTGCGAGGAAAACTAATGGTGTCACCCAAGGTGTTTTTACTTCACTGAGGTAAGTCTTTTTGTTGTAAACTGCTTGCATGATTTGGTTAGTCAGTAAATGTCAATCTTTTTTTTTTGGCTGAAGAATTTCTCATTTTAAATTTGTTTGGCTGTTAAAGTTAATACTTGATGACTACCGTTTTGGTTTCTCTTCTGAAAATGTTTTCCAAAAATTGGGCCCTATCAAAACTAGGGGTGGGAATCTTTAGTCACCTCACGATGACAAGTTATGGGGTCCACCTCCTTCAAGTCCCAAAAATGTGCATGCATCCTTCACAAAAGTAATCCATCCGGCTCCAGGGGGATAAACGAAGGCCTTCTGAGGGTAATCCGTGCGGTTTTGTCGTAAAAATATACATATTTAAAACTTTATTATGTAAACTTAAAACTTTATAAATGACCGTCCGGCAACGGTCGAGGCACTTTCACGGGAGATGGATGCCGGCGTAGGACGTAGCGTAGGAAGCGTCGTGACGTAGAACGAATGTGGCAGTGCAGCGCTGAGCGCAACCAGTGAGCAGAGCAAAACAAAACTCCACTCGTTCTACGTCACGACGCTTCCTACACTACGTCATACGCCGGCATCCATCTCCTGTGAATGTGTCTCAACCGTTGCCGGAAGCCAGTTATTTTCTTTTATAAAGTTTTAAATATGTATATTTTTACGACAAAACCCACGGATTACCCTCAGAAGGGATTCGTTTATCCCCCTGGAGCCGGATGGATTACTTTTGTGAAGGATGCATGCACATTTTTGGGACTTGAAGGAGGTGGACCCCATTACTTTACATTATAACAACTGAAAGATCTAATACATTTTCTAAAATAACTGAAAATGTGTTCGTCTGAAAAATGATTGACATTTGCATCTCGAACGGCTTGAGGGTGAGTAAATCATGAGTTTAATATAATTTTTGGCTGAACTATCCCTTTATGCTTACAGCATGCTGCTTCACGTCATTCTTGCGGACGATGACATCCGTAGAGTCCAGATTGAAAGTCTTCCAGAGACGGTGGATGAATTGAAGACTGCACTCAAGAGCAAGCTTGATCTAGAGGGCGAAATTGTTATCCAGTTTCAAGATCCAGAGTTCAACAATGAACTTTGCAACTTGACTGAAATGTCTGAACTACCTACAGAGAGAACAAGGCTGAAGGTAATACTAAAGGTACCACCCAACATGCCCCCCTCTGTCTCCTCCTTTGACAGCAGTTCTGACAGGGCCTTTGGGACCTCCGCATCCCCCGTATGTTCTCTGTCAAACCCTCGCTCTAAGCACTGGCCTGACCCTTTTATCATACCAACTTTCTCTTATGATGTTGAACTTAAGCTCCGAAAGGGAAATGAGACTTATGAAAAAGATGGGTCCCTACTTGTTGTTAATGCTGCAATGAAGAGAGACATACTTGACAAAGTAGGGAGTGCTATGTATGAGCACAATGCATATCCAATGTCAAAACAAATTAAGGATGTTGCCAAAGCCCTCGTCGAAAAGCATCCCTGTTTGAGAGAGCCAAGTTCTTCACATGGGTGGTACTGCTGGAAGTTCAGCCTCACTTTTAAGATGGGTAACCTCCGTCAGAAGTACCGTATTGCTGGATGCCCAGAGCTTACAGTCAATCAAAAAAGGTCAACCGACACATCAACTGGGAACAGGACGATGAAGAAACCAAAACGGTCTGAGCTCAACTTTTTGCCAGATTTTCCTGAAGGAAAGTCTCCAGACTGCCTTGAAAGAGAGAGAATATCTCTGACGGAGGAGATGAAGAAAAAGAAGAGTGACAGGAAAATGATAGATTCTCTGATGGCAAGCACCTTTGCCTTGCGAAGGAAGGAGATTATTCATGATGAACCTCCTGTGTCTGAGATCAAAGACAGATGGCCAGCACTGTTTTCAAAAAAACAGGTAATTATGAAATATGAAGCTTTGGAGTCATTCAAATTTTAGATTTGTGGTTTGGTTCAATATCAGTGGTTAATGCGTTTATTGACTTTTTTTAATGTTTAGTTTATTTTTTTCCAGGTGAAATTTATTTTATTTTAATGGCCTATAAGAGCCAAAACCGAACCAATGCCAACCTTCATGCTCAACTTACTGTGTTATGTACTGACTTTTTCTTTGGATTTTCTCTTAAAAGATTAGTGCTGAGTTTATGCGCCTGGTTTCTACTGATCTTCACCAGTCTTTCTTTGATGGACTCGACAAGTATGTCCCAAGATTGTTACAGATGTACAGACTGCAAACTAGTAGCAGTTCTGACCTGCGCAGTCTCCTGGAGCCCCTTGATGTACAAGTAAGGATAATCTCATTTACCCAATCCTTTATCAGTCACTTAACAAAAAATGTACATTGTCACTTGTAGAAGTAGTCAATCATTGTCAAATCTAATGTAATCAAAAACTGTTACTGTCATGAGCTTATTTGCAGTTCAGTTTAGGGTTTACTTGGCTTGACTTTTACTTAACCCTCTGGGGACCAAGGTGTTTTCTGGGCCCTGGAGGTGTTCTGACATGCTCTGACATTTGTGCTTATTTCTGTTACCTGTGACATTTTCATGGCTAAAGCCTGATTACACTGTATTCAGCACAAACTCTGCTACAATAATATGTCAGCAGCATTTATGAAAAAGTTTTTAGCTTTGAGATAAAGACATTTATGCGTGGTTTGTGAAAATACAAAAAAAAATTGTCACTAGCCATGTTTCCATCCACATGCTTTTATCCGAATTAAGTGATATCGAATGAAAAATGCCTTATCGAAACAGTAAAATTCGATTGAATTTCATGAATATCGACTCAAATGAAATGCATTCGGTCTCATCGGATTGTCTCATTCTGTGCAGACAGAGGACTATATTGTATTAGAAAAATCAAAAACATTTGGGCACCAGACAGAGGTCATTTCAGTTAGCAACCCTAACTTGTATTTTACTATAAATCATGGATAGTTTGAGAATTATTTATGGTATAATTATTCTTGCTAGACATTTGGAAGACAATATAGTGGTATTGGATAATTTAATAGTGGACTATAAAGTTAAATAAGTTACTGTAGACACAGTACAAATCCCTAGTTATGACTCTTCCTACCCTTAGTGGGAACAAAAAATAAATTAATAAAACCATCACAAAATTTTGTGATAAGTGATCAGCAGCAAGCTTGGTCCTACAGTTGTCACAGTTTGTCTAATGTTCTTCTTTTTGCTGTGTGTTGAGACTTCAAACCAGAAGAGAAGAGCAGCTGCTTTACTCGGACTCCCATTTTATCTGAAGGAGGATCCCAACAGTTTTATCCGTGTCTGTGAGGTGCGTGAGTTGATTTCATTATGACATGGGTAACTGTCACAGTAAAAAACATTTATTGAAGGTATATAGTTCACCCAAAAATAAAAATTTGCTTTTAATTTACTTACCCTCAGGCCATCCAAGATGTATATTTTTCTTTTTAACACTGGTCATTATATGGTGTAAATATACAGAAAATATATGAAATAATATATTGTAAAAATTTAAAGCAATCGTTTTCCACGTAATCTAAATACTCAACTAAATTACATTTTACAGTATAAATATATTGTACATACATTTTATATACAGATGCTTCCCAATAAATTAGAATATCGTGAAAAAGTTAATTTATTTCACAAATTCAACTTAAAATGTGAAACTAATATATTATATAGACTCATTGCATGCAAAGTGAGATATTTCAAGCCTTTATTTGTTATAGTTTTGATGATGTGATGAGCACAAAATCAAAATCTCAGAAAATTAGAATATTACATGGAACACAGTAGTTACACAGTAGTCCCATTGTCATTGAACCAGGTTTTGGTTCTTTTGGCAGTGTGGGTAGGTGCAAACAACGCAGCCGTCTTCCAGGACATTTAGAGCACTTCATGCTTTATGGAGATGCTGAGTTCATTTTCCAGCAGGATTTGCACCTGCCCACACTGCCAAAAGAACCAAAACCTGGTTCAATGACCATGGGATTAATGTGTAACTACTGTGTGATTTCATGTAATATTCTAATTTTCTGAGATTTTGATTTTGTGGTTTTCACATCATCAAAACTATAACAAATAAAGGCTTGAAATATCTCACTTTGCATGCAATGAGTCTATATAATATATTAGTTTCACATTTTAAGTTGAATTCGTGAAATAAATGAACTTTATCACGATATTCTAATTTATTGGGAAGCGTCTGTATATGAAAAGCGACAATTCCCATTAACGCAATATTTCATGAATTTTTCAGTGTATTTACACCAAATAATATATTGACCATAAAAATATGGAAAATATATTTGAGTTCCGTAAGGCTTATCACCACTCATCCCTACTACAGACCTCGCTTTATCACGCCCCCGTCACCACACTGTTCTACTGAAGGAAAAAAGTCACCTACTACATCTTGGATGGCCTGAGGTTGTGTAAATGAACAGAAAATTAAAAAAATTTAAAATTTAATAACGTTTCTGTATATGGAGGGGTCAGAAAGCTCTTGTATTTCATCAAAAATATCTTAATTTTTGTTGCAAAGAGGGTGAGGAATTAATGACAGAATTTTAACTAACCCTTTCATGTTTGGTATTGTAACAGTACATGCTTAATTACTAAATACTTAATTATGTTCTTTAGACTACCAGTTCTGAACAAGAGGCTACAAAAGGAGTTGACGTTGGTCTTCTCATTGTGACTGAGGAAGGCGGAAGCAGCCAAGCACTACTGGCAAAGGAGATAGTTGATATCGCAGTTGTGCTGGAAGACAACATCATCATACGTGAGCTAGGAGATGTTGCTAATGCTTTTTCCTCACTCATGGGTCTTCTTTACTGTCTTGACATAGACTATCCCAAGGGACTGAAGTACACATTTGAGATTATTCAAAAAGTTGTCATGGGCATCGGCAGTGGCAATTGTTCTGCAAAAGTTCACGGACTCCGCAACAAGTTACTTCAAGGCAAAGTTTAGTATTTTAGTGACCAAGTAATAGCAACAGCAGTGTTCACTAAAGACTTCACACCACCATTTCCATATCTATTACATGGTTCAATTTGAAAACTAAACAAAAAGAGGCCTGTATAAAAGAGTTTAATTCAGAGGTTCTAAAAATGTTAGTAAAATGACATGTTAATCTGCTCAGAGATAACTACCAAGATGTTTGTGCAATTTAAATACAGCACTTAAGCCAGTTAGCTTTATATTTCAGATTTTAATATTTCTATTTTTGTGTTCTAGAGCAACCATTTCCATATCTATTACATGGTTCGATTTGAAAACTAAACAAAAAGAGGCCTGTATAAGTTACAGAAGAGTTTAATTCAGAGGCTCTTAAAATGTTAGTAAAATGACATTGTTCAGTTAATCTGCTCAGAGATAACTACCAAGATTTTTGTGCAATTTAAATACAGCACTTAAGCCAGTTAGCTTTATATTTCAGATTTTAATATTTCTATTGTTGTGTACTAGAGCTCGCTTGCATACATTTTTTAGATAAATGTTCATGTAACATGTTATGAAATTTCAATTTCACCAAATGCTTGCAATTAACTACAGTACTTAAGCCAGTAAGCGTTTATATTTCACATTTTATTTCTATATCAACAGTTTTATGCACCAGAGTTTGCATGATTCTTTTTTTAGATAAATGTTCATGTAACATGTTATGAAATGTCAATTGTTCAGCTGGAACTGAAACGCTTGTAATTAATGGTAAGGTGTTTTAACATTAAGTACATTAATGGTAAGCATGATTTTCTGTTTTGAAATAATAAAAAAATTGCATTCTGCATGTTCTTCTATGCCAATGAATCATTTTTATGTAGTACTGTTAGAAAACAGAAACTCAAGTTGTGTGGACAAATTATGCAGTTCACTCTGTTGAATGAACTTAACATTCCAACTAAAATGAACTATTCTTGAAAAAGTAACCTGGCTGCCTTAAAAAAATAAGTTAATTCAACTAAATGAATAGTTCAGCCAATTTTTATGTTGTTTGGACAACTAATAATTATAAGTCGATTTAACAAGATGCTTGGTGTAAACAACTCAAATGAACAGAAATGTTTGTTGGCGTCACTAATTTTATGTTGTCTCAACTGGGATTTAAGTTTACACAACTTTTAATGTCTCGTTGGAGTAACTAAAAAACAAATTAATTAAACTTAAATTAAATAGTTGATCAGACTATTTTGTCAGCTTCACCTTTGTTACCCCAACGATTAATTATAGGTTTAAGGAACTGCAGTACATGTACAAACAACTGAGGTTTCTTAGCTTACTTAACACAACATTTTAAGGCAGCCAGGTTACAAATTATTTTAAGTTGAATGAACTTGTTCGTTTTTACAGTGTAGTTTGTTTCAGCCTGTTGACACCAATAAAACGATTTAATGTGCCAATTTACAGAAGATCTCAGAGATCACCATAATGAATGAGCTGAAAACAAGGAACTTTTGGAGACAAAGAGGTTTTTCAGCTGCTCAGTTAAACATGATGGCCCTGTACTTTTTAAATGCAGATTGGATAAAAACACAGTGATCACAGTTCACACCTGCAGTGAAGCCCCTCCCACAACAATTCACCAATAAATACTGGGAATATTCCCATCATCCTACAAGAGAAGGACAAACTCCAGGAGTAGCAGCTGAAATCTGTGTGACTGTTAAAGATGGAGTTTATTAAAGAGGAGATTGAAGACATGAGTGATCCAGAACCATCCAGAATAAAACATGAAGATACTGAGGAACAAACAGGTTGGTGTCCATTCTTGATTCTTCATTGTTGACGCTTTGGTAGATGTGAATTAGTAAGCAGTATATGCATGATAAATGATGGAGCAATACATCCATATGATCATAATGTTTATAGCATTTGTCAAACATATTTTAACTATGTAAACAAGTGAATGACAGAACAAAAAGTGAAAGATCTGATCTCTGTTGTTTTCTGCTATTAAATAAGGGTTCACTTGAACTGATTCTAACTGTATTTCTGTGTATTTTAGACCAGGTGAGAGTGAAAGAGCAAAGACAAGAACTGCATGAAGTGGAGGAGGAACATCGTAACTTTACAATTCAAAGAACAAAAGCCAAAAAGACACACACCTGCACTCAGTGTGGGACGAGTTTCTCAGAGAAAGGACACCTTAACACACACATGAGAATTCACACTGGAGAGAAACCGTATACATGCACTCAGTGTGGAAAGAGTTTTACTGGTGAATCAGGTCTCAGTGTTCATCTGCTCATTCACTCTGAAGAAAAGCCATTTAACTGTGATCAGTGTGGTAAAGATTTTATTTCATCATCAAATCTAAAATCACACCTGAAAGTTCATTCAGATGAGAAGCCTTATGTGTGTTCTCTCTGTGGAAAGAGTTTTTCAAGGCTGGACAGTTTTAAACTGCACCAGAAAACACATAATGAAGTGAGAGATTATATGTGCTTTGACTGTGGGAAAAGCTTTACTAGAGCTGAATGTCTGAAACAGCACCAAAGAATTCATACTGGAGAAAAACCTTACAAGTGCTCATATTGTGACAAGAGTTTCTCTCGGTCTGGACACCTGAAATTACACGAGCGAGTTCATACTGGAGAGAAGCCGTACTACTGTACTCAGTGTGAGAAGAGTTTCACACACAAAGGAGCCCTTAACACACACGTGAGAATTCACTCTGGAGAAAAACCATTTAACTGTGATCAGTGTGGTAAAAGGTTCATTTCACCATCAAATCTAAAAAAACACCTGATAGTTCATTCAGATGAGAAGCCTTATGTGTGTTCTCTCTGTGGGAAGAGCTTTACTACATCTTGCAATCTGAAACGGCACCAAAGAATTCATACTGGAGAAAAACCTTACAAGTGCTCATATTGTGACAAGAGTTTCACTCAGTCTGGACACCTGAAATTACACGAGCGAGTTCATACTGGAGAGAAGCCGTACGACTGTACTCAGTGTGAGAAGAGTTTCACCCAATCAAGAAGTCTAGTTACTCATATTAGAAAGCATTGTTCTGTGTCACAGTGAGCAAATGTTTTGTTAGATTCACATAAAGTAAATGTGTAGTTAGTTAACTAATAAACTAGTGTTCCTGTGAATGCCACAAGATTTGTGTTTTATATGTTAGAGAACAAAGAAATGTATTGAAAATTTATTTTGACCGAACGCTTACTCAAAGAAATACCAAAATTAAAAGAGACTGGAAACAAATGTAGAAAAACAACAACAATCAGTGATTTGTTAATATGTGAAACAATTCCCTCAATTTGATCAGTTTTTTTTAGTTACATAAAGCCTGTTATTACATAAACGGATACAATAACGTTCATCTGTATAATAACAACAATAAAAATGACCATTTTACTGACAATGTGTGATTTTGTGAGTAAAAGGTTTCTACAGATCCAATAATTAAAATAAACTGTGAGATTCAGCAGCAAACATATAGTAAAATAAACTTTAATTCTGTGACGTTAGTTTTGTGGAATTTGTTTTTGAGTTGTACATTTCTGACTTGTCATTTAGCTGTCAGTGTAACTAAGGCAGTTCTTTGTCTCTAGTAAAACAATAAAAACGTCCTGTGGCCTGTTGCACAAAGCCGGTTTCATTTGCTAACAGGTAAAGTTCGAGATTAGTTTGACAAACTCTGGCTTTTTCAGGCGCAAGAAAGTGGATTGGCTTTTAGTTTTAGTTTTCATCACCATGTTGAATATTTTTTTATTATTTTATACTGTGAATTTAATTATGTAAAAAAAAATTTTGTTGTTTTTGGGATGTTTAAAGTATGTTGGAAATAGTTGGAAAAAGTACTTTTGTGTAGCCTAGAACTAATTATTTTCATTTACCAATTTTAATTGGGAAAAAGGGTATGCCTATAGAAGATTTTTTCATGTAGAACTTATGACTGTCATTACACAAAAAAAAAACAAAAAAAATTCCAGAGCAATGAATTCTTTTATTTACACATTTAAAGTTGCATAAGTAAGGAACAGTGTTGTGTGTAACGTAACTACTTTTTCGGGTAAAAAGTAGTGTAACGCGTTACTACTGAAAATTTGGTTACGAAACGTAGTTCCTTTTTCAATTCCGCACAACGTTACTTTTCCCATGGACAGATTTGACAGCAACACTGTCTCCTCAGCTGCGCGCTTGTAATAGTCACAAGCTCCACATGGTACGTGACAGAGGCTGGTAGCAGAGCAATCAATTCTGTGAATTACACTGCGCAAACCAAAAGTAATACTCCCACCGGATGAAGAAGGGTTGGCTCTCCACAGAACATAAAATATTAATTGTATTGAATTTTTCGTGTTCGCATTTATGAGGAAAGAAACAATGTTATGGACGTAACAGTTCTTCGGACTTGACCGCTCTGAAAGCGGCACTAAAAGACTGCTTTAAATCTTTCACAGAGACCTCAAAAAGGCATTTAAAACACCAAATATTAAGGATTGGCATATCAAGCAAAATAATATTCGATGATTGCTCGAAAATCGTACCTCTACCCCCACATGCTTACAGTAAGACGGGGTTCGCTCAAATCCCGCTCCGATATTAAATTTCTCTGTATAGACTGCGTGTTGTAGCCTAGTCATTAAAGAAAACGATTTAGTTTCATATTTATGTTTAAATAAAATAATTTATTTTTTAATTTCATCAATGTTGATTATATGAAAAGTGAAAAGCATGAGTAAGAGCATAAGATGCGCAATCGGGAGACAAATGGAGTGGGCAGACATGATTTTGACCACTTCATTAAGTTTGTTTTTGTAGAAAGCCTTTCTTTAAAGTGAATTTCGTTTTGTATTAATTGTATCTTAATTTTAATCAATGTTTCATCAACCAATTGTCTTAATAAATAAGCAGTAAATATAGCAGGCAATATAATCAGGACTTCTCAGGAGCTCCGTGCCGGCGCTTGGACTGCTCGTCTCATAAATGAACCGAAACTTAGCGCAAGCTACTTGCCTCAAAGATCTGAGAAATATATAGAAAGCTTGAAATGTGTACTTTAAAACAAAACTATTCAAAACGAGAGAAAACAGACTCTCTGCTTATGTAATCCATATGAAATGTGCATTTCTCTCTGGCGCGTTCACTACTGTGAAGATCGCGAGTCAGCATCGTCAACTTTATCTTTGCAGCCGACACTGACTGACAAAGAAAACACTTGTTTATTAATAATGTTTATGTTTATGTCTCCTTGCTATATTTGATATTCGATATTCATAATCATTTCTTTTGCCGGTTCTTTGTGACATTTTTCATGAACGCGTCACCACCGCTCAATAGTTAATATTGTGCTTTGGTGTTCAGTTTATACAGGTTTTTCAAATGTTATTTAAATAAATAGTTTTTTTTTTTCTATCTCAAAATCTCTCTTTTTTTCTAGATTTTTTTTTCTAGTTTTTCAATAAGTAGGCTATAGAGTTCATTAGAATTTTATGTAGGCCTACACATTTAGGAACAGATATTGGGTTCTGCCCAAAGTCAAGCAACATAAAAGTAACGTAAAAGTAACGAGTAACATAAAAAGTTACTTTCCAAAGGGGGTAACTAAGTAAAGTAACGGATTACTTTTTTAAGAAGTAACGAGTAACGAGAAAACACTACTTTTTAAAAGTAACTTCCCCAACACTGGTAAGGAATAATTGACGACAGGCCATTGACGACACTCCGCTTTGCGTCGTGACCGCATTACCACCTCGGGTGTGCATTATTTTTCTAATAATTCAACGGCCTGAAGTCAATTATTCCGCTTATACTACAGTTACCACACCTCGAAACATTGTTCAGATGATGCATTTCAAGACGTTTGTCAAGTTTTTGTCATTAAAACGCTCTTGTATGTAGGACTAATTTCTTACGCATCTAATCCCATGCCTCCGTTGCTAATTCCAAAACGTCATTTAAAGGCCATGGTGCAGGGTTTTTTTTTTTTTTTTGTGGCAATTTTCTAGTTGGTAATAAACATTAAAACAGTTATCAATTGTATCTGATATTGTAGGGTACTCAAAAATTTAAATATAAGACGGAAAAGTGGGTGATATGTTAGCTTTTAGCTACAGCTTAGCGAGGATTCTTATTTCTCCCACAATGCATTCCATGACGTCACATGAGGTACTCGCTGACTGTTGGCCCGTCTTACGGCCCGAGGGAGAGTGATACGAGGAGTAGCTATAGCTAGTGAAAAAGTGACAGTGACTGATTTATAAGTAGATATAGATAAATAGATAGATAGATAGATAGATAGATAGATGGATAGATAGATAGATAGATAGATAGATAGATAGATAGATAGATAGATAGATAGATAGATAGATAGATAGATAGATAGATAAGCATAGCATATATAGTGAGAGATAGCATAGCATAACAGATAGCTTAGAGATAGATAAAGAGTAGATCATAAATAACGTTAAAAACTGGACAAGGGTCCATTCCTTCCCCAAGGACAAAGCGATCTTCCGAAGCTGGGTGCAGTTTGTCAAGATTAGGCGAGCAGATTTTTCAGCTAGCTCTGTCACCGCCTACTCGAGAATATGCAGCACGCATTTCAAAGAGGAGGATTACCACTCAGGGGATTCCAAGATGGTCTCACTTGGATAAAAGAGTGAGAGGAGTGCTAAATTACTTCCTATCGCCGTGCCGTCTTTGAACGCAAACCTCTCTGCTTGCCCTGTCCCGAGGTCGAGAGACACCGTCTGCTGCAAGCGAGAAATTGCCACGGTAAGCATCATGCTAACGTTAATGTTTACAAGCTGCGTGTTAGCTAGCTGTGTGTATTTTGTATAGCTACCGTGTTCCCTTTGACACAGCCTCCACTACACGATCACTCTGACATTAGAAGAGCATTTTTCGCGATTCACGAATTTGAGCCAAAACAAAATTGCCCTAAAGTAAATGTCCATATCGTCATGTAAGCTTCGTGGCTAGTGTTTGGATCAGTGGTGATGATCATCAAGCGGCTTTCGCAATCGCGTGTTTGCGTTTTGTGTTAGACTGCTACGGTTCTCTTTCACATTTGACCGTGTCGTCAGGGCTGTAGTGGAGGCAAAACGCAGTTTACCCACCGCTGAAATTATGTCAGAAACAGTTTATCCACTTCTCACTTCAGAGTTTAGCTAAGTTACCTCTCAGTAATTCACTAACGTTACCTCGTAGAGTTTATGTAACTTTACCACATGTATTACCACTAGTATTGGTGTAAACATTTAATAGTAACATTCAAATCATCAAATATGTTCTGAATTTCTTTTATGTATTTTTTAAAACATTTAGTAGCGCATATCAGGGTCCACTGTACTGTAATCTCCCTGGCAATCTCATAACATTCTGTTTACTGTTTATGTTTGCTATAATTCGATACGCAGGACAATTTCATGTTTTTCCATTAGTGGCAATGATCTTTATACAGTATTATTATTATGTCTGCAGGTTATGCAACATCATTAATGAAGGCCCTTCGGGAAAGCTACACCAATTCACCTGCATCTCTTCGAGAGGTTAGCGCCAGTTGGTCCTGATGCACGTGCCCCCATCGCCAAATCCTTCAAACAGGTTCCTGAGGAGGCCGTCAGCCTCTACCTAGCCCAGCAGTCACGCTTCAAGAACCTAATTTCACATTATTTTCTTTCCACAGACAAGTCCAATGATTTAGTTGTATTTGTTTATTTTAGTTGTTAGTTATCTTATTTCCTTCTGTCCCTGTCATCTCATTTAGTGGCGGTTTCCTGCATTCTGCATGTTTCGTTTTGTTTTCTTTGTGTGCTGTTGCTTTGGTTTTACTTTGCACAAAATCATTACTTTTTTTCTTAGGCTATTGATTCCCGTGATCTTGTTTACCTTCGTGGATCACCTTTGTGATCACGCAAAGCGGTCTGGAGAGGCGGTCCGTTCAGAATTACAACCAACATAAAATATAAGTGTGCATGTACAAATTTGCAGTAATGTTCAGGAAAATATAAACTTTATTAACATAAAATGAAACCGGAGAGATAGTTAATGAGTGAATTAACTATGTTCTTAAACATGATCCATAACTGTTAACGGGATTTATTTCAGTATGGCTAATGTTCCCCTTCATCCTACCCTAATCATGGACTAAACCAT